AGAAGTTGCCAGCTGCATCGATGGCGTGACACCAGAGATCGATGAAACAACAGCTGTTCAAGGTAAAGGTCAAGGTCATTCCTCGTCCACGTACAACTTAAAGATTTCAAATTTAGCCTCCCTCCTTTCCTTCCTTCCCCCTTCCTTTCAAAACTGTTCGCTTTTTTTGTGCAAAATTTACGAGATTTGCGCTGTTGAGCGTACAAGTTAAGTGTAAAGGAACAACCATTTATGCAATTAGCGACCTGATTATTTCAAGTCTGGTGCAAAAAACGCATGATCGCACCAGCAAGAATGTTGCATTCCAGCTTGAGTTGTGATGATTAGAACGATTGATGATATCTGCAGTAAACTGGGATTTGCATAATGGTAACCTGTATAGTTTGATAATCCAAATTTGAGGTTTACCAAATGCGAGTTTTTCAATTTTTGCCTCAAAGTTTCGAAACATGGATTCAGGGCACAAAGCGTTTTCCGAATTTCTGACAGTTAGAATAGCAGTTTTGACTCCAGAACATACTGGAAGATTTCAGTGCGCACATGCGAGAAGTACTCAAAAAACTGCTGTACTGCAAAAATTTGAATATTGGTTTCGATTACCGAGAGTTTTGGCATATAGAACGTTATGCTTTTGCTCGTTTCGACGCAATCAGGTGCAACAAGTGCTCGCGAATATACCCTCATCGATATTTCTGCAACAGTAAGGTGAGCTCTTTTTGGATCGAAGCACAATCCATCCCATTTTTATCCAGAAAAAAACTTGCTGAGGTTTGATAGAGATGCAAGCTTAAAAAAATCACACTTATACTTGGATGAACGGACAGTGCAGTATTTATGAGCTTCACCAAAATGGATCAAACTCGCCAAGAGAGGCAGGTAGAATATCCACTTTTGCTGTGGTCAGCCTAACATTACCACCTACAGTTCACCTACATTACCCACTGCACACTCATTGATACTACAGAAACAGAATGATTATTCCACCCTTTTTCATTAATTTAGAATATAGAACTTTGAGTCTGTAAGCGGCTTTTCTTTCAGGATTACAAATCTAAAAAAAGCCATAGGGACTTCAAGCTTTTACTCAAACTAATTCTTATTTATTATTTCTGCGAGTGTTATACATATCCAAAATAAATATTTTGAGTGAAAGTTCACATGCCTTCAGAAAAAATAAAGTTTTATGGGATTTAGGCAGTCTGAAAAGCCAAGGTTTGCATCTAAAGAGTCTGCCACATTCATGATAAAATTTTTAGGACTTTGTTAAAGAAAATTAAAAATATGGTACTCTGAATTGCAGATCTGCTACATTCACGATAATTTCTTGTCATTTTATTCCGATGTCCACTTAAGTGAATATGGAGAATCTGTGCTGGCCAGGATGTATCGCAATGAAATTTCGTATTTGCGTGCACGTGATCAGATTCCGTGAAACCGTTTTCGATAGATTTTTCACTGATTTCAACAAAGAATACACTTTAGCTAAATTTCTCCATAAAATAAATTTTGGGAGAGGAATCAAGTTTAGAATGCGCTACTACTACTGAATTTTTCTAAAAATTGCCCTGGGGGGAAATGCAAAATTGAGAAAGTTTGCTAGCTGCATAAACGGAGAGCCAGGTCGTAACTTGTCAAAGTACCAAAGTAAGTATTACTGCTGTATGAATACGCCTACGGCAGCGGAAGCTGACGAGAATGAAGCATATGTAAGCAAACGATCAGGAAACTTAAGCAGTTAGCGTGCTGGGAAGTGAACACGGCGATAAACTGACGTAAAACAGCGGCCAAATGAGAGGGCTCTCTCTTACAAGCTGCTTAAATACTGCTTGTCAAAGTAAGGTTTGCTACAGTTTTTGCTACACATGAGATCTTTTAATCACAGCATAGCTCAAAAATATCCACGTTTGAAGTATTCGTCAATCAGTTCCTTGAAATATTTCGAAACAAACTCCATTCCGTACAAATTGAGAAACATATCGTTGTGGAAATACGTGATCAATGTTTGCGGATGAAAAATGCGACATATTTTGTACTGCAACGACAAGAAAAAATAATATTTTTCCTCAGTGACAAAATCTTTTTGTGATGCGAAATGCGTGATTTATTGAGTTAAGGAGTTGGTCCTAAATGGCTAATAGTTCGGTACCCAATTAAATCTCTCATATTTGTATGCATTATTTCATATCCTCAAGCAGGAAATACAATTCGAATCCCATGATTGTGTCAAGTAGTGTTAAAGAGTGACAGTTATTGTCATTTTTGTTATATTTCGAAAAAATAGTCAATTTTTTGTTTTGTTATATTTCGAAAATATTCTATTTAGCTAGACAAACATAATATAGTCGCATCTGCATTTCTCCGCTCAGCTGCATTTCCAACCATGCAGTTGGCAACTTATCCAGTTTCTTTGATCATTGCTTCATCGCCTGGTGGTTGGCCTACTGCCGATCCTGGCGCTCATATCGTTTCCTAAAGAATATCATCCTAAAGACACTCCTGGCAGATGTAGCTTGGAAAAGCTTAGTCACTTACAGATGTTGCTCATGTGTGCTGTTCATTACCACCATCTCATTTGGATGGTTGTTATGCTTAGACTACGATGCGGTGCCTTGCCGACTAGGAAAATGTAATTACATAGGCTGTATTACTATGCCTGAAAAGGCCACAAAAGGCGAGCATACAGTTTTGAAGGGGATTGTTCCGGCTCATCAAATTCTGCAAGCTATTATAATCACAAATACCCATTTGCTTTTAGCCAATTCGCTATTATCACTGCGATTTTGTCAATCATACTTCATTGGGATGGCTTTCAAAAAAAAAAAAAAAATTAGAGGACAGATAAAAAAAGGCTTTCAGGAAATTTTAAATCATCCTGTTATTATTATTTATAAATTAAATCCCAATCATTGAGGTAACATGACGTGATCCAAGACTTGCGACAAAGTAGTTATGTCAAAACGACTAAAGATTTGCTAAGTGCTCTCTCCTGGGAGAACGTCCCGTAATTCTTTCAGGAAACGAAAATGAAATTTATGCCATCAGTTTGACTGTGGACAAAGCGTCTGGAAGAGTTGCCAGCTGCACAGTTATAAATTTACTACTGACACACATTACGGCGTTTTAGATCTCAAGCAGACCAAGAACACAAAATCCTTGACTGTTTCTCGTCAATAACTGAACCTAAAAAAATTTACCTTTGGTCCACACATCCACTGATAAGGCAGCAGACGATCACAGTTTCGACAGGCAATGCTGTCCAGCCTTTTTATACTGTTCTGCTGGAAATCCCAGTAGTTTTGAAATTGTAAATGCGTTTCACCGTAACTTGTATCGTTGGCAATCAGTTTCGCTTGTAACTGCTTGACTGCAGAGCTGCAACAGTGGTGCATATATATATATATATATATATATATATAT